TGTTTGAAGCGTTGCCTCGTTAGTGTGGGACAAGTGTACACGAGATGATTCATTGTTTCTCTGGTTCCTTGCTCTGGACATTTTCTGTAATAAATTCGTTCTGTCAGCCACAAACTGCAGGCGTGTGCTGCCACTAGACTGTGACTTCTATAACATATAGCTGCCATATAAACTGAATGATCAATATAAAGTTCTTTTATGGAAAAAGTTGTTATTTTTAAACCGAAGCTAACGTTTGTTCCTGATTTTTATTGGTACTAACGTCAATATATTTTTTCTCAACCACGCTATTTTAATCATTAACTGTCTTTCTAGTTTTCTTAGCAAACAATATGGAAATTTACGGAGTTTTAGAGAACGATGACTGGGAAAAGATATATGAGAAGATAATATGCGTAACTATTAGATTTGAACAAACAGCGTACAATACGAATCGATATTATTCTGAAAACTAAGAATGCAGGAACTGCATTCAGCTGAATGCCATGAGCAAAGCACAAACAACAGAAATTCGGAACGAAAGTTCTATACAGACTGTTAAAAGTCAAGATCAAAATAATATTAATAATTAAATCTACCTCGTTTGATAAGGTTTTCCACACGCTATGTGAAAACTAGTAGAAAACTCTCTGTAGTACCATTTCGAAAAGTGGATGGTTGCGCTGAACCACAAGGTATACAAAAACTTCTGTAATAATGTGAATAATCACAGAGCTTATGTCTTTCTCGCCGTTATATTTCTCTCACCGTTATTTCGAAGCTTTTTATAACAATTTCTCTATCCTGGAACAAGCATAAACATCGAAAACAGCTCGACCTTCAAATCAAGCGTGTAATAACATTTTGAGAGACCTATAGAGCTACTTCTGGCAATCAAATTATAGCATTTACCCGGGTTTGGGCATGATATTATCAGCCGATTGAGATTGCATAGACCTTATCAACAAAAACTTCATAATGTAGTCACATCTTGCAATTTTGGACAATCTGTAAATGGTTGCTTATTTGTAATTCCATTCCATCATTCCATCCTTGGTTCGACTGTTTATGAAAATTATTTATGTATGTATATAAATTTATGAAAAGCAAACTTTAGTTTCATTCCTAGCTCTGCTTTAACTTCATTTTTATCGCTCAGCCAGTGAGTCAACGGGATGAGAGTGGCTGAGGACATCCTCTGACTGTTTCGAAAGGTACTTATTAAGAGTTTCAATATTCAAAGTCCACAAATGTGTCATGCTAATTGGCAACTCCATTTATTGCTAGAGTTCGAAGATCTCGGGAACCCTGTAGGAACTCTTAAGCCTCTAACTTATTTTTAACAAAATTTCCAAACTCAAACAAAGATTTAAAATTATTAAAAGATGATAGAGCAAGATGATCTGACTTGATGAAACTTTTTGAGATCGGCTTGAAGGTCACCTTTTTAGTTCCGTATGATTAAATTTCGATTAACTCTGTTAATTCTACAAAAAGCGGTTTTTTTGGAAAAGAAGAGAATGCTCTCTACTGCCCTAATAAATATTAGAAGGAATGAGACCGCAAGAGTTCAGTAGTTATATATATGCTATAAATGTATTTTAACTGTTAAAGATTCAGAGTTCAGTTCCAGTTAAATTTTTATTGATCATAAAATTTTAAGATGTTCCTAAAAATAAAAAAATGTTTCTGAAGTAAAAAAAATTGTACCAGTTTTTCATGAGCGCTTTAAAGGAACCGCTTATGCATATTCCAATTTCCTATAACTACCAACCATGCTCCATGCTGACGTTCGACCGCATCGCTACTGAGCGCAGTGGCATTTATCAGTCTTATTTATATTCAATAATTTTTGCTCGATTTCTCTTTGCATGCAAACCAAATTGTTCGAAGACAATTTCAATTGGAAAATGCATTTTGTGTACACAAGAACCGCTGCAAGCTCTCGTCGCAATTCCACGCTCGCTTGCAACGCTTATCATGCAAGGCGCATACCGTTGCTTGAGCCGTGGTGCTTTATCGATTTTCGTCGTGCTACGCTTATTTACGCTGAAATAAGAAATTCATAAGAAAATAAATACAACAAAATCATGAATGCAACAAAAACATGAATGCAATTGTGCAACGGAGCATATGACGAATTTTTGAAAAAAAAATTTTTTTCATGGTGCAACATACGGCGAACTGCTTTTATACTTGTGATGCCACAGCGCGGCGTTGAATGCATTTTTCTTGCGTTGTATTCGGCGTATTGGCAATCATTAGGGAGTTGCGTGTGCAACGCATGCATACGTATATGTGTATAGATATAAGTATGAGTGTGCCTCTGCTTCAATAAGCTGCTCCCCTTTGACATCGCTTTTTTACGGCTTTTGAACAGTATTTTCGGTCTTTCATCTTTGCAATTTCATATTCAAAATATTTCTGCGTTTTTCATGCAGCATAATTTTCACTCACTCACACACATACACACATAAACATTTGTCGGTACAAACGTAAAGGCAGCAAGTAAATGGAATGCAGTCCATTTCATCAGCAACGTCTGACTGGAAATGATTGTATGACTGAGTCAATAGCTACCTATTTCACTGCCAAACTGCCAGCCAGTCAACCAGTTAGCCACCTCGCCTTGCCAACCGATTGTGCGTTACATTCGACATTTATTGAACAGATTTTCAGTAGGGACTGCACCATAGCTGGTCGCTTCATTATTTCGCCACTGTCTCCCTCACCCACTTCCTACCTCGTTATCTATCTGTATCGCTCTGTCTCTCTCTCTCAATTTGATTGCCTAAATCTGCTGAGCTATCTATTTAACCTAATGCAGTCGCTTTATTCGGCTCACTGTTGCATTTTATGGCAATGGTCCAATTTGCCCTCTGCCCTACTTAGGCGAAAGAAATCGCAAGCATACGATATGGAAATGAAATGAAATTTTACATGAACAGGGATTTTAGCAAAATAGCAGGCGAAGACTGTATTGAAATATGAGATATGTGAAGACTAAGCTACAAAAAAAGGGTTATAGCAGGTATTTTACATTTTATTCGAGGTTTTGGTGTCATTTCGTGGGCTTACAGTGGAGATGATTTGGTGCATTTGGTAGACAATTTTTGATTCTCCAAAAAATTCACAAATTCACGCTATTCAAAAAATCTTCTTCTGAGATGAGTCCAATTCCTGGCTAATGGCTTGGTCAACAAACAAAATGGTCGCCATTGGGGTGAGTCTAATTCTCGTGTGGTTCAAGGAACGCAATTGTATGCTATTTCCTTAGAAATGAGACAGCAAATGCCGTTAGCATCAATAGCGAGCTTTATAACATAAAATTGGCGTAAACGGGTGGAGATATGCAAATGGAGCCGTGGTAGTTATTTAGCAGGCATTTTATAATATAATAATAAAATAAACAAACAGAACCCATTTTGATCACATTTCAGCGTTTTATTTAATTTTAACATCACGTCGTTCTTGTTGAGAAACCCTTTACTGCAACGATTTCAACGATTCCGTAGCCGTAATTCCAGTTTTCCAGAAATTGAAACCAAAAACAAAAGCAGATCTTTGCGAGCGAGAATTAATAATTTAGGTTAGAAAATAAGGAGTATTTATTATTCATTTTCAAAAATTAATTAATCGCATCAATTAGTGGATTAATTGAGAGCACACATCCGATGCAGATAATTTCACGTTTTGGGCTGGTCGATTGTCCACCTAGATCACTCGTTGTTTGTATTCCGACGCGAAAAGACGTGCGTGCGCATCGTTGAGACATTTAAGTGAATTTTCTATGAACAGAAATTATATGCAGTGTTATTACCTGGCGCGAGTTAGATCGAATGCCAGAGACAAACAAAGCTTTACCGCGAGTAATTGCTTATGAATAATAGGCAGTGTTATTGCCTGGTGCGAGGGCATAACAAAGGACAGTGACCGTGTTGTTTACGTACAGTGAAGGCACCGTTTTTTTTGCGGTCGTAATAGGCTCGAAGGTCATTGACAACATTGTTCTGGCGCAGGTACGCGGTCGTGTGTGCCATAAGCGATTACAAACTTTCTGTGGACTTCTCGGAAGTGCGCGTGATTGATTAACCCAATGGTACGGCGGATATTTCGTTAGGTCGCGAGTTTTTCGTGTTGTATCGTATCGGTATTGGTCGGTAGGAGAAGTATGTCTCCACCACGGAGGAGAGGGGCGAAGTCACTCGCCGAGAGCGAGGAGTGAGAGCCCTTGATGAACACTGCAGCATCAACAGAAGGCGAGGAGGAAGTGGCGCAACTGCTGAAGCCCCCACCGCGCAGAAAAGCTCGCTTGGCCTCTCCACCGTTGGGGAGGTCGTGCGAGAGCGCCAGCGAGACGGCAGCGTCAAAATCTGCATCCGGAGCAGCTAAAAGTGCAGAGAAGGAGGCAGGAGAAAGCCGAAAGCGAGAAGGGGAAAGGAAAGGTAACAAAGGGGAGTTTATTTTTACTAATAAGGGCGTTGTTGGGGGTGGCGCTATCAGCCATGTTGCAGCGATGAAAGCTGTAACAGCTGAAGTCAGCGCGGTGGTTTTCGGGCGGTGGGCAAACATAGATGTTTCTGACATGAAGGGTCTCATGGAGCTTGCCTCGAAGTACGAAGCACTCCTGATGACTATAATTGCGGAGAACGCTCATCTTCCCGGGCAAGTGAATGCCCTTAAGGGAGGTTATGTGGGATCGTGAACGAGCAGACTAATGGTGGCTCCCGCGACTTCGGCCTGCCCCTCCGGCACCCGTGCTGAAAGCAATAGCGCCGATCTGGTCACCCGGGGCTTTTGTACCCAAATTAAAGCCTTAACAAAGAATTCAGCATTAACGGATATAAAAAAACTGATTGATAGAAATTCGCTAAGAATTTATTATCGAAATGTTAGAGGTCTTAATACAAAATTAACCGACTTGTACTCAAACAGTTCCAATTCTAATTTTCATATAATTGGATTTACAGAAACATGGTTAAAACCTCACATTTTTTATAATGAGATTTTAAACAGCGAATTTCAAATATTTACATGTGATCGATTTAACTGGATCGGAGGAGGTATTTTATTTGTCGTACATTCCGCTATTCCATCTGAAGATGTTCTCGTTCCGCGAACTGACTCATTTGAATTTAAATGTATTGGAGATAAGAATTATATAAATTGAAAAACAGAAAAACTCGATCCTTTAAACATTAAAAAAAAAACCGGTTCACTTGTCGACTATTCTAAATATTCTGTATTGCGTCGAAAGTATTTTGACGAAAATAATTCCATTGCAGACAGCAGTGATACACTGATTGTTGTAATGCAACTCAATGTGGAAGATGAACTACAGTTTTTACGAAATTATCCGAAAAACGAAAGACAATGTCGTTAATGTGGAATATAAATTGAAGGCAGAGGAATTTGCCGGGTTCTTACTGTTTCCTTATAGAAACAGCGGGTTTAAAGTTCAGAATTTTTGGAAGTTACAACGACTATTTATTTTATATTCTTATCCTTCTTTGAATATTAGATAATTAATAATCAAAAAGGCGCAGTCGAAGAAGTGATGTTGATCCTCGTACGCTCGATATGTATGTTGGGAAGACTTGAGAATGCCAAGACCTGCAATCTAGATACTTCAAAGAGTTTGCGTGGAGTGGAGGAACAACTGACGGCCCGGAACCTCTCTTTTCTGTAGGACCACACACATTACGGTAGGTGCCACGGGGGAACAAAGGGCATGTAGAAATCACTAATGGCAGCTGCTTTTGGGAGGGTTCCACAAACCATATACTAGTGTGGATGTACACCACGTCAGTTAGACCAAAGTCACATACAGGAACAACTGCATGGAACAGAATTTTTCCGCGAGAAAGTGTAAATAATTCGTTTTATGGTGCAAGGTGGTGGATAATATGAGCTTGGTCAATTCTGACGGTCCACTATCCAAAGAGCTAATGCCAAGGAAATTTTTGAATTTACTTGCAACTTATAAACGCATCAAGAAGCGAAACGGGCATACTGGGAAAGAGGTAATACGCTAAGAGTTCTATGAAGAGTCCGAAGTGGGGTATGATAGGCTTCATTCCATACAACCGCCAGCCAAAAATTCTCAAAGCCGATAGCGTTGACGTATGTGAAGTTAGTGGCGACGAGAAGACTGACGACTCATATGAAATTAATTTCTTAAATGAGCTAAAAAAAGCGTCCAAAAACTGCCACCAATGAACCATTTGATTTCTTAAAAAATGAAGCTCTAAAAGAAGTATACGAAGTTCAATTTTGGATAACATGGCAACCTTAAAATCATCATTTCTTTCATTTTTGGCTTGGTTGCCCGTACGTACCACGTGGTCTCAAATGCGTAAGTAGATAAATTGTGAAAATAATATAAAATTGATTTAATTTTACTATCTTATACAATTCCAATAGGTGGGGTTAAAATCATCCTTTCATTCTTGGTTTGGCGTAATTAGAGTATACATATTTTTAAAATAATATAAAAAATTTTATATATAACTATTTAATACACTTTCAGTAGGTGTGGTTAGAACCATCCAAACCAAAGTGCCTATCTTAGTGTGAAACGTGTTGTAGCAACTAATGACTCAATTTTGAAAGTACTACGTCAAAGGCTCTATCACCTCTCACTGCGGATGAGGTATTGGTTTTAACAAACAAATGCAAACTTCAAAGCAGCAATATTATAATTTCCTTCATATATAATTCGACTTACTTTTGGTCTATATAATATACAAAAATATATTGAAGATTGAAGATTTTAGATTTTTTTTGATAAAAATCGTATTTAAATTTGAGACTAATTGGTTTAGCCGTTTTCGAGTTTTGTTGTTCACCGACTTTGAAAACACCATTCTGAGAAAAACACGTTTAAAGTTTGGAACGCACTTCACATGGGATAAAAAACTCTGAAAGGCCTTTTCAAATTTACGTGTAACTTCGAAAATATTCACTGGAACCATATGATATTTTCTGTGTGTATTCTTATATATTGTGTATGTACTTTAAGAAAATAAAATTTTAAAACATCAATGTTTTAAAATTTTAACTGTATGTAATCCTTTAAAAATACGTCTTTTTCAATCCGAAAACCGCACCGTCACAAAAATGGCCACTATTTTGAACGCACTATTCCAAAGAATGGTCTCGTTCCTCATCAATCGCTGATGTTGCAAGAGAAGCGGTAGAAGATAAAATTGCTGGTATGAATAAAAGTCAACCAGTACCTCAGTGTACAGAACAACCTTTAACGTCGTCCAACACGCATTGTCACCCACTTATTCAACCTATTTTGAGTTTCCTCAATGAAATATTTGAGGAGAAGAATAAATCAAACAGTGTGATTGCAATAACTCCAGTTTGTCCCTATTACGAGCGGCCAAATGGATTGGAAGGTAATTACTTTTCAAGATCTTTTCAAAAACTATTTGTATCTCCATTACAGAGCAACGAAAATTATTCGAGCATCTAAGCATATATGCCAGTCGATACCTTTGTGTTCCACCTACTTCTACAGAATCGGAAAGCATGTTTCGCCAGGCTGGATTGCTGATATCAGATTGAAGAGCAGCACTAAAAGTTAAAAACGCCAATAAATACTATTTTTTAACAAAGGAAACATTTTAATACTCTCGCAACATATTGCTACAGAGTATAATAGTTTTTACAGCTAACGGTTATTTTTATCACCTAAAACTAATCGAGTTAAATATAAGGTTATATATAAATTATATAAATAATCAGGATGAAAAGACGAGTTAAAAGCCGGGCGATAAATCAAGCACTAAACACTCCAGAAACATTGAATTTTATTTTCGGGATGGTATGAGATGATATTATAGGAACCGACTTCAAGGTTAGACAATGAGCGTGGCACCGCCCACTTTTAGGTGAAAACCTATATCTTGGGATCTGCTTAACCGATTTCAACCAAATTTGGTATATAACATTCTTCTTCTATATTAAAGTGCGAAACTGGGCAAAATCGGATTACAACCACTCCTATTTCCCATATAACACCATTTTAAATTCCATCTGAATCTTTCACTTTCCATTATGCAAATCAAGCAACACTGATTGTATCGGGGTAAAACTTTACATGAATAATGCGTTTAAAGTGTGCCATCTTGTGACCAAAAATTGTCTAAATCGAACCAAAACTGTTCAAGGCCCTAGTTACTGAATATGTGGACCACAGTGCCTATTGTTGACTTCCTATAGCCCTTATATACCTAATATAATATAATTGGTGGTGGTATGTGAGGTACCTTAATGAAACACTAGGAGCATTTTATTAGCCTGTGGAATGTTAGTAGTATGTGGTATTGCCAAATATTGATAAAATCGGATTAATACTACCCTCTGCTTTCATATACTACTTATAATGCGTTTTGTTATTCTAACCAGTTTTATGCCGAATATGTCGGTCAATGAGTATTACTTTATCAAAATATGCTCTCGAGTATAGCTGACCAATGTCAAAATTACCATCTTTCTCTATCCCCAATATATATATGATTTCCACATCTTTCATGTCTTTCAACATGACTTTAAACCGCTCCGGTTGATCAAAATGTGATATTTTAATGAAATTAAGTGGATACGTTTTCTTAAAAATTATGTGGTTTGCCGACTGGAATTAGAATAAAATTAATATATAGCTCGGTCTAAACCTCACACCTTCATATAGTGAATTCCGATTCTGTGATTAACGTTTTCCACATAAGCTTATAATAAAAAATTTAGCCACTTTGGTCGATTTAATACATACATATGAGTAAAAACACGTCAAGTGGACCCCCCATTATCCACTTGATCATCGAATTTGAATGTGAGTATTTTTTCATAAAGTAGTCATCATGAGCAAGTAATCCCCCGCTCAGTTTTTTTTAATTTTAATTTTAACAACAATTTTTTTTTAATTGAAAATTTTTACTACTTTTAGCTAAAAAAAATATGTATGAATTTAAATAATTTTTTTTTTTCAAATTGTTAATTAACTTTTGAGTTAAGAAATGAAAATTTTAATGACTTCTCCCTCAAAAACTTAAAATTTTTTTTTTTAGTATTTTGCAATAAACATTAAAGTAACGAAATCCGCAAAAAAATTTGACTGATCGCGATTAGATTAAGCAAAAAAAAATTTTTATGGCGGGCGGTCATCGCTGCCGGTATAGCGCTGCAGGTATAGCGGTTCGGCAACGCAATACTTAGAGTGTGTTGCATATTTCATTTGTATGTTGGGATGATGGTCTCACATTTTGCTTGCAGTGCATTAGCATGAATGTGGTTGAACAATATGCATAATACCTTCCCGCTTAATAGTTTCAAAGAAATACTTAAGACGGGAATTCCCTAATCCACCAGAATGTATTGAATACCCGCTATTAATATTTCAAGGCCAAATTTTTAACTGGAATATCCTATTCTTTAAGTATTTAAAATCCATAATTTTTTTACCCCATATTTTTTCTATTCTTTATAAAACATTCAATTAACATTACAATACTTGTTTTAAATAAAATGATATTCGAACTAAATCCTTTGCGGCTAAAAGAAATAAATATGAAAGCATCTTAATATTTTATGTCCCATCTACAAGTATGTGAACAACAAAGGAATATCTCGAGCCATTCATAATTTCGTTGATAATTAATCATGAGCCTCGTTAAGAAATGCTGCAATCCATTTAATTGGATATTAAAATGGATAATTAAAAAATCTTTTGAGGATGGAGAATTTATCGTTTGCCTTGGTTTTTCTGAAAATTATACTTTTACTGTTCAAAATGCCATCCAATCTCATCATTGGGATACCAGTCAGGCTACAATTCACCCTTACGTTGTGTACTATAGAGAAAACGAAGAAATGAAACATATAAACTACGTGGTAACTTCGGAAAAAGTTAGTCACGACGCGAGCTCAGTTCACCTTTTTAATTTTAAATTGATAAAATTTCTAAAAAATAAGTTTGGAGCGGATAAAATAAAAAAGATTTCCTATTTTTCGGACGGAGCTGCTTCTCAGTACAAAAATAAGTATAATTTTGTGAATTTAATAAATCATAAAAAAGATTTCAACGTGGACGCGGAATGGAATTTTTTTGCTACTTCTCATGGGAAAGGAGCATGTGATGGTTTGGCAGGAAGTTTTAAGAGGCAAGCTTTTCGTGCAAGTCTTCAACGGGAAAGCGATAAGCACATAACCAATGCAACTTCATTATTTGAATGGGGTAAGAATGCAACTAAAAAAATTAACTTTGGTTTTTGCTCTCAAGAAGATCATGACTCCCATGAGAAGATGTTTAAATTACGTTATGACCGATGTGTGACCATAAAAAATACCCGCCAATATCATCATTACAGAGCTGAATATATGAGAATATCATCATTACACTCGAGTGCAAAGTTTTCGCCAAAGACATTAAAATCGTTACCAATAAAGTTAAAAAAAGAAATAAAGCAATACGTATAAGTTATAAGAATTAATTTAAGAATTATTTAACTTCTTTTTTTTATTTATGAAAAACTATTTAATTTATTATCTTTCATTCGTTGAAATAAAATTAATCATAAAATAACGATATTTTTAATTAAAAATGAAATATTATTCCTTATTTATAATTACTAAGTAACTCTAAAGAAAAGTCAATGACTAAGATACTCAAAAATATTCAATTTAAAGAAATTATGAATTTTAATACTTAAAAATAGGACATTCCAGTTAAAAATTTGGCCTTGAAATATTAATAGCGGGTATTCAATACATTCTGGTGGATTAGGGAATTCCCGTCTTAAGTATTTCTTTGAAACTATTAAGCGGGTAGGTATTATGCATATTGTTCAACCACATTCACTGCAAGCAAAATGTGAGACCATCATCCCAACATGCAAATAAATATGCAACACACTCTAAGTATTGCGTTGCCGAACGTATACCTTGCAGCGCTATACCGGCAGCGCTGACCGCCCGTCATAAACATTTTTTTTTGCTTAATCTAATCGCGATCAGTCAAATTTTTTTGCGGATTTCGTTACTTTAATGTTTATTGCAAAATACTAAAAAAAAAAATTTTAAGTTTTTGAGGGAGAAGTCATTAAAATTTTCATTTCTTAACTCAAAAGTTAATTAACAATTTGAAAAAAAAAAATTATTTAAATTCATACATATTTTTTCAAAGTAAAAGTTTTGAACTATAACTCCTGAAAATTTCATTAAAAAATCACCAATAGTTTTCTAGTTATTAATTTTTTAACTAAAAGTAGTAAACATTTTCAATTAAAAAAAATGGTTGTTAAAATTAAAATTTTAAAAAACTGAGAGGGGGAATACTTGCTCATGATGACTACTTTATGAAAAAATACTCACATTCAAATTCGATGATCAAGTGGAAAATGGGGGTCCACTTGACGTGTTTTTACTCATATGTATATCTCACTTTAAATGTTTTTTTAAGCTATTGCATAGCTTCGCGGGCTTTAAGCGTGGGGACTGAATTAAGAAATAAATCTAACACGAACACAAAGTATGCACAAAACGTTTGCATACTTTTAGGAGCACTTTCCCATATCTCAAGCGGAATAAATCAATTGAAGAGACGGTGATTAAAAAATAATAATATTTAAGATATAATTTTTTTAATGGCAAATAAAAATATAGAATTTAATAAAAATTTAATTAATAAAAAATAAATTATCCAATTTTCGGAGTCATAATATTAGTAACATTATTATTATTTTGGTAAATGCTACCCCACCATTTGGAACAGTATCTCGTTTGACTTAAACAATACAATTGAAATTAATTATATCAATCGAATTATCAATGGTAATAAATTTCCTTTTATCTTGGCTGGCCATTTTAACATCAACTTCGCTGATAAAATATCAGAATAGGTTTTCTTTCGAAAAAATTTAATTTGTAAATGAATAATAATCTACAAAAATCCACAACAAACTATTGGACCACCATTGACGCGGTATTTTCCAGATATTTAGAGGATATCAAGTCTCAAACTGATGTTCCTTATTTCAGTTAAAAGAAACCTATAGTTGTAAGGATAAAAATATTTTAAGCAATATTAACTTCTCATTTATTCAATACAAGAAAAAAATTTGTTTTCTTGCCCAAAAAGTGTAACTTGAATTAAATAAAAAACTTGATCTAATATAACAGAGAACACAAGAATACTGCATAAAAAATCAATAAATAATTATAATTACACAAGTTGATAAAAAATTCTATGCAATAACTTTACTGCGGAGTCCCCGAGTGCCACACGTACTTTTTTTTATTATAATTTTCGCTGATGGGAACTAAAATATAGCAATAAAACTGAGACTTAGTTTATGGCCTTTAATATAAGTCAATAAAATACCAAATTTAATTGTAGTTTAATCAACATGTGTTTTAACATAAGGTTTTGCCACTCCAGACCTTTGATTCTTACGCATTGCAAGAGTATAAAATTGTCGATTCCGCCCTAGTACCAATTATCGGGGATATATTGACCCTAGCTCCTACATACTTTATGTAAAAAATTCAAACTTCAGTTTGGCTTTATGTAAATGTAAAATATTATATATTATATATATAATTAGAGCAAAAATATCATTCTGTAAAAAATCGCATGAAATAAATATTAGTAGTGTGGTATTAAAAGGGCTAAAGACCCTTTTTATGTGGTAATAACTATTTCAGTTTTGCGACACATTTTAATATGAACGTCATGAGGTGAACTGTAAACTCAAGAAAATTACATTTTTACTCAGCGCCGTTCGCAGCTTATGAAAAGCTTAGATGTTAAGACAGAAAGAAGAAAATCTACATTCCTGTTCTACATATGTGTGGTACTTAATTATATGTAGGTTATTGCTACATTAGCCGTCATGGGCAGACGTTTCAAAATAGGTACCATATATCCCCCTGTTTTAAAAAGCGTTAGACAAAAGCAATTTACGGAGGGGTTTTCCGAGCACTTAAATGCAATACAATGAAATAAACTACTAAT